GCTATACGGTCATCTCTTGAGAACCTGTAATAACAAGCTCTAAATTAAAAAGGCACAAGAACCTGGAATCAATAAATAATACTAAAAAAACTCATTTTATCTAGTGCCTCCTTTTATCTTTCTGGCAATTAACCCCTTTATGTCGGAAGTTGAAATTTTTGAATTTTTTGTGTGACTTTTTGGCAAGCTTCCAGCACACCAGTATCTGCAGCAGTGACTGATTCTGCACCACGTGATGACAGGGACCCTCAGGAGGCAGGCGTGTGAAAAACCAGACCTTGGTGATGACCTTGAGCAGCAGGATATGTATAAATAACTCCCACAGCACTGCTACTCCTATAATGGGGATTAAGTGAGTTAAACCGACTGCCATGTCTCCTCAGGTCCCTACTCTGGACTAAAACTCAGAACTCACTAATCAAACTTGCCCTAAATAATGAAGAGATGACTACAGACTGTCTTCTAAAAATTGTAAATATTAAAGATCTGCTGGGTAGTTTTTTTATTTTAACCCCTGGCATTTCCATCTCAGTATTAAATTCAACCAAGAACATGACAGTACCATTTATACTTAAGTTGAGCTCAGCTTCAGATAAGCAAGAAAATAAAACACTAAAAGGCCACATATATTCTCCTAGGGACAAACACCTAAGCATTTTAGAGATGTGGAAATTTTTTTAAAATATCAAACATTTATTTACCACTTTATGGGGGATTTTCCCTGGTCTTGAATCTCGAGTAGTTTGGATTTTCACATTTTTTTCACTTTCCTCTGTCCCTAGATTTTCCCAGTTTTCCACAACTCAAGTATTATTTGCTTTGTTTAATCAAAGAAACAAAGCAACCTGGTATTTCATTACATTTAGCTAAAAATTCAGAAATAAACCTATTTATGAAGCACACTATGTCATATACTATAGAAACTTCATTTTGGCTGTGTTACCTGGCTAGCAGTTACTGAGCTACAAAACTCCCTTTTATTTTCTGCCTTTTACTTAATAAAGCTTTTCAACGTTTCCAGAAAACTGTGACTTCAGCTTTTATTGCGTTCTGATGGGATCAGTGATTACAGAAGCTCAGCGTCACAGATCGCTCTCCCCGTAGAGCGCAGAAGAGAATGCGGTGTAATCCAGGGCGCCCGGCACACTGCCCGGGCCGGTGTAGGTGGGCATCCTCTTGATGCAGTACTGGGCCTGGTCTGGGGGCAGCTCCCGACGCAGCTCCTCTGCCAGGATGTATGGCTACAACAAAGGCACACGTTTGCCAAGTCAGTTGTAGAAAACACCAGAACATAACAGCTCTGATACTTACACATTTCCTACATTTATTTAATTTTTTTTTTTTTTTTTTGCAGTTTTTTGGCCGGGTTTGAACTGGCCACCTCCAGTATACGGGGCTGGCGCTCTACTCCTTTGAGCCACAGGTGCTGCCCCATTTATTTAATTTTTTAAAAGGAGTAAAGGTTAGGGAATCTACTGAGTATAGTACCAGACCAACAAAGACCTGAATTATACTTGTAGACTCACATATACCAAGTGACCTGGCCAGCAGGAAATATGAGTTGCTTCAAGGCAAATGGAGCATTGTGATCAATATTTCTCAAACTGAGCCATAATACAAGGATAAACACAATCTGAATTTCATACCAAAAAAGGAAAGGGAGAGTTGGTGTATGTCACACGCTGACCAGAACACACAGAGATAAAGCCTGGGTGACAGAGTGAGACTGTCTCAAAGAAAAAAAAAAGGTATGCACCGCATGTGTGTAGAAAAAAGGAGTCATTTTCTTACCCAATTTAGTAAAAAATTAGAAATATGTTGCTACTGGAGAAAATCTCTCTAAAACTGGAGACACTTAACAATGGAGCTTTTTAATTTATTTTATTTATTTATTTATTTGAGAGAGTCTCAAACTGTTGCCTTTCGTAGAGTGCTGTGGTGTCACAGCTCACAGCAACCTCAAGCAATTCTCTTGCCTCAGCCTCCCAAATAGCTGGGACTATAGGGGCCCGCCACAATGCCCGGCTATTTTTTTTGTTGCAGTTGTCGTTATTGTTTGAGTTGGTCTGGGCCAGGTTCAAACCCACCAGCCTCAGTGTATGTGGCCAGCGCCCTAGCCGCTGAGCTACAGGCTCTGCCAACAATGGAGCTTTTTTAAAATGTTGAATGGGAAATAGGACAATTCTGGTAAAACAGACTGGCTAAGACTCAAAATAAGTAAATCACAAATATTACATTATAATTTATAATAGAAATAATAGAAAGAAGAAAAAAAGTTGTTTGTTTGTTTGTTTCTGAAACAGAATCTCACTCAATCACCCTGGATAGAGTCCCGTGGCATCCTATCTCAAAGCAACGTCAAACTCTTGGGCTTGAGCCATCCTTGTGCCTCAGCTTCCCAAGTAGCTGGGACTACAGGCACCTGCCACTACATCTGGTTGGGTTTCTTTTTTTTTCTATTTTTAGTAGAAACAGGGTCTTGGTGGTCTACTCTCTACTCAGGCTGGTCTCGAAATCCTGAGTTCAGGGTATCCACCTGCCTCAGCATCCCAGAGTACTAGCATTACAGGTGTGAGCCACCATGCTGGGCCAGCTTGCCAGTTTTTTAAGGACTGAATGGCTATATTTAATTTTGCATTAAAGGCTGGGCATAGCCAGGGTCTTTGATTCTTGGAAGGTTCCCAGTTCCCTCACATATGAATTGTGTGGTTTCTTCTTTCTGAGTCACTCCTACCAACCTCGAATGTAAAATGGGGTTGAAAATATACACTGCTGTCCCGTCTATAAAAACTCAGTGTGAGGCCCAGGCACAGAGGCCAGCAGTGGAATCTGTGTTTCTCTGTTCTGGGCACACCATTGTTACATCTCTGCGATGCTTCTGATTTCAGTGTGATACTGTACAAAATGTTCTAGTATAACAATGGCTTTTATTTACAACTGTTTCTTTCTCTGTTAGAACGATGCAGGGACTACCGCTAAAGCAGAGGAAACTCTGCCAGCACCGACCTTATCAGAAGCCAGGATCCGGAAGGAGGCGATGACCTGCTCCGCGGTGTCGGTGTCGCCGGTCTCCCTAGTCATGAAGTCAATGAAGGACTGGAAGGTGACCGTGCCTTGCCCATTGGGATCAACCAAGGTCATAATACGGGCAAATTCAGCTTCACCCTGTGGCAAGGTGGCAAGACACACGTACTCAATAATACCCAACTCTCTTTTTTTTTTTTTTGCAGTTTTTGGAGGGGGCTGGGTTTGAACCCGCCACCTCCAGCATATGGGGCGCTGCCCAATACCCAACTCTTAACAGTGCCGTTCTCACTCCTTTCCTTACTGACATGCAAATTCCTCCATGTTTGAAAACTGACCCGTTACCTGAATTTCCCTTCAGTCTTTGGAAGAGATTCCCCTCATGTGTGACTTAGGTTTACTGCCATAGAACAATTTTAAGAGTTGCTGTAAATATCGACTCAGAATTCATTCCTCTCTGGGACCCACTATGGCCTTCATGGATTACATCACATAACATAATTATGGAAAATTAGGTCAAAGTGAGAGTTGGGCCTTTTTCTCAGATTATAGCCGAAATAGCAATATTGCTAACTAGAAGGCAGTGTAGGCTCTCATGATCTAGTTGAAAGTCTGGAATCAAAGTATGTCATGTTTAAAATACAAATTAATGGGTAACAGAGAAGTATGGGACTGTCACAGCCCAAGGGAAAAGTTTTTCTTAGCTGATTTATTACTAACCATTTTTTACATTTTAAAATAGTATTAAAGAAAAATGCACTTTAAAAATCATCAGGATACTAAAAGCCAGTGAAATATATACAATTTAAATGGGTGAACTATAGTATGTGAATTATATCTCAAAAAACCTGTTTAAAAAATCATCAACACATTGAATCCCATAATGGCATAAATGTATTTATGATCTATGTACAAATGACTTAATAAAACAAAATAAAAAAAAACAAAGTTATGATTTAATAAAAAATAATGCTCTCCTACCCTTAAAAAAATAAAGCAATTAAACAATAAAAAATAAATCATCAACAAAGTCTATGTTCTCATTTCCTTTACCAGAAAAAACAATAGGACCAAGTACTGAATAAAAATATATATTCTAGTTCTGTGAAATTATTTTTATACAGTAATAGTCAGACCTTCAAAAATATCCTATATAATGAAAACAAACCAGTCCCAACAGTCCCAAATGGAATACCTTACCTTAAGCTAATCATCTCCTGTCAATCCAAGCTCAATAAAATAACAAATCTTAGTAAAATATCAAACTTCTGTCTTACCAAATCATAACCCATGGAAATCAGGCAGGCTCTGAAATCCTCATGATCCATCAGGCCGTTCTTCCTCTGTCGACAAATATGAAGGACAGAGAGGTGAGAAGCAGGGGCAAGTTGAGCTCTGTTTGACCGAGTGGATGAGAATCAGAAACGTCACCACTGACTTACAGGAAGGATGAAGCTAGCGCGAGGATGTTATAAAATAGTTCCTTAAAAAGGAAAAGAGGCTGGGCTCAGTGCCTCACACTTGTAATCCTGGCACTTTGGGAGGCCAAGGCAAGAGGACTGCTTCAGCCCAGGAGTTTGAGTTTGCAGCAGTGAGCTAGAGTGAGACCACTGCACTGCACTCTAGCCTGGGGGACAGGAGGAGACTTTGTCAAAGAATAGAAAAGAAAAAAGCAGAGCAGAGAAGGAAGAAAAAGAAAGAGAGGAAAGAAAAGGGAGGGACGGAGGGAGGAAAGAAAGAAGGGGGAAGAGGGAGGACAGGACAGAAGGAGAGAGGGAGGAGAAAAAAAGAGAGAGAAAAGGGGAGGGTTGAGACCAGACAAAAATAAACTCATTCAGGAAAGCAGCAGAAGGAACTGGTCGGGAGCTCACTACTGCCACCTGCAGATGACAGACAGAACTTATCCTAACTGAGAGATGATGCGGCTCCCCCATGTCCTGGGTTGTCCATCTTGTAAAATCCCCCAGAGGTGAGTGCATTCTTATAGCTCCATCAGCGGGAAAGCAACCACTCTCAGGCCTGTGCCCAGGAGGTAGTGGACCTTTCATGTAGGAAGCTCAGCTTCTCCCACAAATCCACTAGACAACAGCTTTCCCAACTGAGAAAGACCAGGTCAGACAAACAGCCACCCAAACTCTACAGCAACAAGGACATCAATACAAAGTCCTGGACGGGGTGGGAAGGCCTTTGAGAGTTTGCAGGGAACGGCTAACATTTAACATCACTATAAATTGAAACAGAAGAAAACACTTTCATCAGGCATACAAATTATTAATAGGAGATTATTTTCTGGTGATTTCACCTGCCCATGAAATAGCCGCTCCCAAAAGCTAATGTCAGAAGTTATTTTTCTCTATGAATAGAGGCTCTCTGTGTCTGTCCCCATGTCTGAGTGCTTACTTCTCAGCCGCTGCCCTGACCCGTCAGCAGCGTCCCCCAAGGCCAGGTCCCCTCCCTTACTGATGCTGTTCTCTGTGGGCATCTCTTAGCTCTCCTCTGGGCCCCTCCAAGGCCAGGCCCCCTCCCTTACTGACACTGTTCTCTCTGTGTGTCTCTTAGTGGTTCGTCTTCCAGGCTCTTCTGCCCTCCTTACACACAGCAGCTCCCCTGAGACCTGGACCCGCTCTCTGCTTCCTGTCTAGACTGTCTCTGACCAAAGATGACCATTAAGTGGTGACTGCCACAGGCTTCAGCCCAAAACTTAGAACCGGACTCCTGCTGCCCAGGGGAGCTCTTCACTGCGATGGCTCCCCAGCGCCCCTTCTCTGTGTCCTCACAGCTTCAATTTTCCATGTCACCCTCTCCATGAGCCCCCACATCCTGTTGCTGACACCTGTGAGATTTCTGTCTCAACTAACTTTGGATCTGCCCTCTTCATTCCCCCTGCTGCTGGTCCTCAGCCCCGAAGCTCCCGCTCCCCTGCCCCACTCCTCCAAGAGCCTCTGCTTGCGTCCCTCCCCTCCTCCTTCCCACCAGTCTCTCTGCATCTTCAGTGGGTGCCTGGCACATTCCTCTGAAGCGCAGCTCTGGTCACGTGATGCCTACACTAAACTCAACTCTGTGACGTCTGTGGAGAATCCCCCCATTCACATCCTCTATGGCCCCGGCCATTCCTTGACTATTTAAAGAGAAGAGGAAGCAAAGGGAATCCATATTCCTGACACTCCTTCCTCCCACTGCACCGTAACCAAACTTTGTCTCTCCCCCAAGACAAAGAATCATTAATGTTTACTTTAGACGAACTCTTGAAGCAGCCAGATCTGCATTATTCTCCTTGGACTTTTGTTGCAAAAGACGGTCTCGTCACCTTGGATTCTAATCATATTCCTTGCTGCTCTAAAACAGCCCCAACAAGTGAGAGATTCCCTCAACAAGCCCAGATGGATCTGTGCAGGTGTGAAATTGTTTCCCGCCAGGGAAGGGAATGACTTGGACTTCAATGAATGAAGTCAGTTTTCTTTGTTTGGTTTGGTTTGGTTTTTGAGATAGTCTCACTTCATTGCCCTCAGTAGAGTGCCATGGTGTCATAGCTCACAGCAACCTGAGACTCTTGGGCTCAAGCAATTCTCTTGCCTCAGTCTCACAAGTAGCTGGAACTATAGGCGCCTGCCACAATGCCTGGCTATTTTTAGAGATGGGGACCAGACAAAAGTAAAAACTCATTCAGGAAAGCAGCAGGACTGGTGGGGAGCTCACTACTGCCACCTGCAGATGACAGACAGAACTTATCCTAAGTGTTCTGAGAGATGATGGGGGCTTCCCCATGTCTTGGGTTGACATCCTTGCTGCTGCAGAATTTGGGTCGCTGTTTGTCTGACCTGGTCTTTCTCAGTTGGGAAAGCTGTTGTCCATTAGATTTCTGGATGAAGCTAAGCTTGCCACATGACATGACCTCCTGGACACAGGCCTGGTCTTGCTCAGGCTGGTCTCAAACACATGAGCTCAGGCAATCTCCCCACCTCAGCCTCCCAGAGGGCTAGGATTACAGACGTGAGCCACCCTGCCCGGCCCCAATGAAGTCAGTTTTATAGCAAGCTTCATGCAGTATAGTTGTGTTAAAACAGTAACTTCAATATCCACCTTTGTGTATAAATCTTCAGTCATGCCTCACACAGCTTCCTGATCAGAATTCTGCCTGACCCCTGTAATAGGCCCAAATCTGACTGGTCTAGTCCAGAGGCCTTTTAAGGGCCATTTATTGACATCTGAAAATCATAAACATGGCACTGTACAAAGTAATCTAAGATCTCTTTTTTGAGACAGAATTTTACTTTGTTGTCCTTAGTAGAGTGCTGTGGCATCATAGCTCACAGCAACTTCAAACTCCTGGGCTCAAGCAATTCTCTTGCCTCAGCTTCCCGAGTAGCTGGGGACTATAGGCCCCTGCCACAATGCCTGGCTGTTTGTTGTTTAGAGACAAAGTCTCTCTCTTGCTCAGGCTGGTCTCGAACCTGTGACCTCAGGCAATGCACCTGCCTCAGCATCCCAGAGTGCTAGAATTGCAGGTGTGAACCACCATGCCCGGCCATAATATCTCTTTTTAGTGATCTTTAACAGCTGGACTGTGTGATCTTAAAGTCATTTTTAGCTATATCATTACTAACCTGGGAGCTGCCTTATAAAGAACTGATTTTGCTCAATGGTGTTCAAATTAAAATACTAGGTAATAGTTTTAACACGGTACTTAAACCTTTTTAATTAAAAAAAAATTTTCAGATATAGGGTCTTGCTCTGTCACCCAGGCTGGAGTGCAGGAATGCCATCACAGCTCACTACAGCCTCTAAGACTGGGCTCAAGTGATCCTCCTGCCTCAGCCTCTCAAGTAGCTAGGAGTACAGGTACTCACCTCCATACCCAGCTAATTTTTAATTTTTTTTAGTGGTGAGGTCTTGCTATGTTGCTCGGGCTGGTCTTGAACTCCAGGCCTCAAGTGATCTTCCCACCTTGGCCTCCCAAAGTGCTGTGGTTATAGGTGTGAGCCGCCACACCAGGCCAGTATGTCTTTACTGTGAGAATTTTCACCATTTTGTTGGTGCACGTCCTTAAAACACATCATGAACTGATTTCATTAATTAACAAAGAAAACTGAGTTTTCTATGTTGTTGAGAGAGTGGGTTAAATTATCATCTGGTACTTTACCTGAATAGTTGTTTAAAAAAAGAACAACAGAGTTTTGTATTTCAGTCTTTGGAAAATGACCTAAATCCAACGACCATAGGAGGAAAAAAACTTTCACTCAGAACAAGTAAAAGCTTTGACAGCAACTCCCAATGCACTGTCATTAACACATTAAGTGCCATGTGAGTGGTATAACTGATACATCTCTCGACCTATCTTGACCTAATAAAACCCTGTGGCCCCAAGGAAAAAATTTTTTTTAGTGTGGCAGTCAACGTGTTAAGGGACTGCATGAAACGCCACCTGAATCTAAACTTGGTGTCACCCTGAACAACACCAGCGCTCAGGACACTTCACTGCAGTGACTATTTTCCTTTGCCATTAATCATTCTGTTTCCCTATGAACTTTGTGGGGCACTGAGACTTAAAATGAAAGCGCGCAGATTACTTCAGACACCCCGCTTCGTGACCCCAGTGTTGCCTTTCAAGTAAGCAGAGGCTGTGGTACCCTGTCGAAGTGGTTGAAGGAGGCTCTGAACTCATTCATCTGCTCCTGGGTGATGCCCTTGGCGTCTCTCATCAGGATCTGAGTCTCCACCTCGTTGATGGTCCTGGCGATGGTTGTGAGCAGCAGCTCCCATCCAACACGGATGTGCTACCAGGGAGAAAAGGGAAGGTCAGCTCAGGCTTTCCTGCATGTCAGTCTTGCCTCTTCGTGTTCACAACAGGACAGCTGACTCAAAGGGCTTAAGACAGATTCCCCCACATTTAAAAACAAAATTCTGCTTTGCCATTTTTTTGCAGGATTCTGTAGTGGAAAGTTCTCAGAAGGGAGACGAGGACTTTAATAGAGACAACCAGCACTGAGTCGTTTAAGTACACTATCCACATGGTGTATGTGTCACTAAAAACATTTTCCCATTTACCAAGTAGCAGGGTGTGGGCCCTGGACACTCAGGGAGACCGATGGAGGCCAAACTGGCAGAAATGCAAGTCCAGTTCTGGTACTGTCTCTGAGGAAGTGTAATGAACTCACTGCGGTGACGATAATCACTATGTCCTCGGGGCTGCTACTGCTAACTTCCACTTAGTGCTTGATAGCGCTCACAAAGCTTTCTACACATAGTAACTGGAAAGGCTTACACAAGAGCCCTGACTTTCTATTTTTTTTGAGACAGAACCTCAAGCTGTCCCCCGAGTGGAGTGCCGTGGCATCACAGCTCACAGCAACCTCCAACTCTGGGGTTCAACCGAGTCTCCTGCCTCCGCCTCCCAAGTAGCAGGGACCACAGGCTCCCACCACAACGCCTGGCTATATTTTGGTTGCAGCTGTCATTGTTGTTTGGCAGGCCTGGGCTGGATTTGAACCCACTAGCTCAGGTGTATGTGGCTGGCACCTTAGCCACTTGAGCCACAGGCGCTGAGCCAAGCCCTGACTTTCATACTTTAGGGCTTAATGGGAGCAAAGAGAGACAGGGTATGGGGAGAAACCCTGAGGAGGTAACGGAGTCACCATGAGATCAAACGAGAGTGTGCGGGCCTGCTGGGATGGGGTGAGGTGGGGCTGCTGTACCTCCATGGTATAATTCGTGTGCTTGTTGTCAAAGACCAGGGCCTCCTGGATGAGCTGATGGTCTCCCTCCAGCTTGTCGATGTTGTTCTTGTAGTTGATGATGTTGTGCTCATACTGCTTCAGCTGATTCATCTGGTCTTCCAGGGCTCCTGTGATCTGGATGGAGCTCCGGGCAATCTCCTGATGGGGGAAGCAGGCACGCAGACAGGAACAAAGTGAGTTGGCCTCTGCAGCGGGCGTCATTTCTGACTCCACTTCAGATGTTCCCCAGCCAGCATCGGGCAGGCCAAAGTCCTGGGGCTCACTTTTCTCAGATGAAGTGGGACACAGGTGGTATCACGGGACAAAATAAGGTCAAGTTTTAGTCTGTCTAGTACAGCAGTTCTCAATCTGTGGGTCGCGACCCCTTTATAACAATGAAAATACATTGCAGCGTTAGGAAGGTTGAGAACCACTGGAATAGTGAATGGGAAAAAGCTAAGTAACATCGAAAACAGAAAAGTTAAGAGGAGTAAGAAGTAAGTCCTTTCAGCCTTCTATTTTTTTTTTTCTGAGACAGAGCCTCAAGCTGTCACCCTGGGTAGAGTGCTGTGACATCACAGCTCACAGCAACCTCCAACTCCTGGGCTTAAGCGATTCTCTTGCCTCAACCTCCCAAGTAGCTGGGAGGCATCCGCCACAACGCCCAACTATTTTTTGGTTGCAGCCATCGGGTGGCACCTGTGGCTCAAGGAGTAGGGTGCTGGCCTCAGATACTGGGGGTAGCAGGTTCAAACCCGGCCCCAGCCAAAAACTGCAAAAAATAAAAAATAAAAAATAAAAGGTTGGTTGCAGCCATCATTGTTATTTGGCAGGCCCAGGCTGGATTCGAACCTGCCAGCTCAGGTGTATGTGGCTGGCACCTTAGCCACTTGAGCCACAGGCGCTGAGCCCCTTTCAGCCTTCTTGATGGGTAAGGGAAACTCCGGCAGGCACAGCTGCCCCGTTCTGGAGGCAGCTGGTGCAGCTGCATGGCGGAGCTGCCAGAGAGAGCTAAGACCAACACAGCCTCCTCCATCAGAATTCCTTATATTGTTCAGTGTTTTCCCCTTTAAAAAAAAAGTTAATATTTTGCCACCAAGAGGAAGGTAGGGTGAGAAATAAGTGTCTCCTAGCTGTGCCTGGACATCCAATATACCCAGACATGTGTCATTCAAATAACACCTTCCCTGAAAATGTTCTGAAAATACAAAGGACTTGTGGGTCTTCATATGTCCTTCTCCTTAGGGATGGAAGGTTTTTAGGTTCTGCAGAGGCCAAAGCTGATAAAGACAAAATCCTCTCCCCATCCCTGGCATCCCTCCCTTGACTCTACACTGTGCCTGGGTGCACACTGCCCACGATAGGCCAGGGGCTGGACAAAGTCCCACGTGGCGGCAAGATGGCACTCTCCGATGACTGAGCCAGGCTGGCCAGACGTGCAGCATAGAAGGGGCTGTGACTTCTCAGCAAAATGACTCACTGCGAGGATCCTGGTCAGCTCTGGGGAGGGTGCTGACCTACCTCCATCTTGTTCTGGATCCAAGGCCCGATGGCGTTGGCCTGTGCCGCAAACTGGCGCCTCAGACGCTCGTTAGCGTGCTGGCGAGCCAGCTCCTCCTGCAGCGACTGATCACGGACGGGCACCAGCTGCTTCACCTGTCAGGGCCAAGGACAACAGGGTCAGAGGCCAGCTTAAGTCTCACGAGTAGTCCGAGAGTAGGGGGAGGAGTGGAGAGGAAGAAAGAGGCAGGAGACTCGGTTGAACCCCAGAGTTGGAGGTTGCTGTGAGCTGTGAGGAAGAAAGGGAGGAAGGTGAAGAGGAAGAAAGAGAAGGGAGAGAAGGTGGGTGGAGAGAGGAAGCAGAGCCCCTGCTTGGAAGACTAGAGAGCTCACTCTTGTTTTGCTTTGTTTTTTCAAGTTGCTTTAGTGCAGCGGTGACACTCTGGCTCACTGCAGACTCAAATTCCTGGGCTCACACAATCCTCCTGACTCAGCCTCCTGAGCAGCTGAGACAACATGCACAGGTCACCATTCCTGGCTACCAACCTAGCTCCGACTGCCACCTAGTGCCACCAAGTGCCTGCTGAAAGACCAGCCGAGTCAAAGGGTATTTAAGAGCCTGCGTTAGGGACAGTGACCAGTCCTCCAGCCACGCTTTAGAGCACCAGCCCTGTGGGGGCTGGGTCCAGGCTGCAGAGGACTTACGAACTTGGATGAGGGGACTGTGACATCTTTGTTTTCACCATCTCTGACTGAAAGTCTGCGTTTTCTTCAATTACGAATGTGGGCGTCCAACCTGCAGCATGGTTAGCAGTCCCTGGGACTATCAGGGCAGAAATCGCAGACCTTCTCTGTAACAGTGGCGTTACCGCCTGCCTCCTGCAGTACCACCTATACTCAGCACGACTTCAAATGACTAGGCCTGCTTTTAGATCTGGGTTTTACATGTGTTAACAATGAAGCACATACATTACTATATCCCAACATCAAAAAAGATTTTAATAACTACGTTCCAATATGTTTCCTTTGCATTATTAAATATTTTTATGAATTTACAAACATTATTACCAGACAGACAAAGAGGTGGCTGATACAAAAAAAGTAAAGAACCCCTGGGTTCTTTTACTGGGTTCATGAGCTTGATTCCTACACAACGTCTGCCCGCAGGAGAGTATTCCTACCTGCTTTCCATTCCCTTTGTGAATTACAACGCTATCCCTCATCTCTCTTTGAAAAGACGGGGGGGGCTATTTCAAATATCTTTTTTTGTATCATCCGCAAAGCTCTTGCTAAAAGCATTGTTGTGTCCCCTTTATAAAAATCTATTTGCTTTATGACTTACTGATGGGAGAAAAGTTTGTCTCACTCTAAGAAATGTCATATTTCCTTTGTTCCAAGAAAACCAATTAGCTCAGCCTGTTTCTTTCCCTTCTGACTTTGGCTGTCAGGAGACCACAGCTCATCTCAAGTTCAGATGCACTGACTAACTACTGTCTCTCAGGGGATACTCTCCTCTCTCTCCCCACCTGCTTTTCCCTTTCCCACCGTTGGCAGCTAACTTGGTGCGTGTGTGTTTTTATAGTAAGCCACTTCAACGCCACATGGTGGACACACTCCTCAAAGACGACGTCTTGGCACACTGAGATGACTAATTGTGCTATAATTTCAACCACGAAAAGAAATTTCTCTTAAGGATGAGACGAGAGGACTCAAATGATCCCATTTTGACTATAATTAAATTGTGGACAGTTTCCCAGAAATAAAAAGGCAGCAAGTTAGCAGCGATACTGTTGTTCCCCAGATGTAGTTTTCTGAGCAATTTTTCTGCATTTAAAATTCATGCACATTTGGGATGTGTCTATCCTGTATTCTAAAAATCCTTTAAAGTAGTACTACAGGCAAGTTGAAAGTACAAGATTTCTAGTTGGGTTTTTGTGGTTGTTGGGAGACAGAGTCTCACTCTGGCACCCTGGGTAGAGTGCCGTGGCGTCACAGCTTACAACCACCTCAAACCCTTGGATTTGAATGATCCTCTTGCCTCAGCCTCCCATGTAGCTGGAACTACAGGCACCTGCCACAATGCCAGGCTAGTTTTAGAGACAGAGTCTTGCTCTTGATCAGGCTGGTCTTGAACTCCTGAGCTCAAGCAATCCACCTGCCTTGGCCTCCCAGAGTGCTAGGATTACAAGTGTAAGCCACTGCATCTGGCCTCTATTTGGGGTTTTAAAAACAGTTTCCCTTATTAGTTTAATAATCTATATTGATTTTGTCAATACTTGTAAGATTTTAAGAAAAATAATCTCTACTTTCCCCATAAGTGTAGAAACTGCTGAATGGCTCTTAAGAGGTTAATGCATTTCATCTGTGAAATATGAGATGAAGGAAACTCCCCATCACCCTAAATCCCCAAGGCGTTAATCCCTTGTCCTCTGTTTCAAGAACACCCTCAGCTGCCCACCTTGTCCCACTTGGCGCGGATCTCATCCATGGTGACAGTGCTGTAGGGGTTGCTGGAGCTGATTCTGAGGTTGTAGCTCTGAATGACCTTCTCCACCTCATTCTGGATGGCCAAGATGGACTGCCGCTCTCCATCTGCCTCCGGCAGGGTGGCCTTGAACTGCTCGTGGGCAGTGATCAAACTCTACACCAGAGATACAAGTGGGGAGAATCCAATCTGACTCAGGGTTCAGACCACAGGCTTCAGCGTTCCCATCTACACACAGAAGGAATAGCCTGCCTTTTCTAATTATAGTAATCTTGGAGGAAAATAAATTCTACATGTTTTAGAAAAACCCTTTGGCACATAGAAGTTCCTTGAAAATGGAAAGAAGATAACATTATAACTATTTAATTGATGGCTATCCATCCAGTGTCTTTAAAAATAATTTTCTTGTAAAAAAATGTTTCTTAATATTGTTTCTGATCCTCCACTACTGTTTAAGTCTTACTTTTGTCTAATAAACAGAACTTAACTTAGCTGCTCCTGCTAATAGCCGGGCTGTGGTCCTACTAAAGCAGCTCACAGTTGCTGCCTGTCTACTCAAGACAAGCAGGAAGCAGATCACTGCCCCAACAAAGAAAAGGTCACAGAAACCCACTCTCTCCCGTTTACCAAACCTATTCTTGGACCCTCATGTTTAAGACGGCAGCCCTGTAAGTCCAGCTGTTCAAAGACCTCACTGCCGTGTGAACCACCTGTGAGTGTCCAGCTCCTCATTCTCTTTCCAAGAAGGTGTGACAACAGATCGGCTGTCAGGAGACCTTTCAGGAATGTTTCCTTGCAAACAATGTGACTTCCGAGACAAACTCAGAGGTCTCACTTATCCCCCAAATAAACTGTTGGCTTAGACTGTTAGACTGTGCTTAAGACTGTATGCAAGAAATGCAATCAAAGCTTCTCCCAGAAGATAATTCCAATGTTCAGGGAAGTGATTTCTTTCCTCTGAACCCTTCTAGACTACTTCCTGGTAGGTAGGTATAGATTCCAATCCCAACCTTCAATATTTGATGATATGTCGATTTTAGAGAAAAAAGAATAAAAAACACTGGTCCTGGCTGTCTGAGAGTAACTAACATTGCTTCGTAGAAGCCTTATTTACAATTTTGATGTTCCAAGAGAAATTATAAACAGAACATTTTGGAATGTTGGCAGGGAGAAGGTAGGTGCCAATTTATTCGTTCTTTTCTTTTTTTTCTTTCCTTTCTTTTCTTTCTCTCTTTTTTCGGGGGAGGGACAGAGTCTCACTCACGTGCCCTGGGTAAGAGTGCCGTGGCATCATAGCTCACAGAAACCTCAAACTCCTAGGCTCAAGTGATCCTCTAGCCTCAGCCTCCCAAGTAGCTGGGACTATAGGCAACTGCCACAGCGCCAGCTACTTTTTTAGAGATAGGGTCTTACTCTTGCTCAGACTGGTCCCAAACTCAAGCAATCCACCTGCCTCAGCCTCCCAGAATGCTAGGATTACAGGCAGGAGCCACTGTGCCCAGCGTGATTTCTTACGTTTCTTGAAGTTTTCTTACGTTTCTTATGTTTTATGATCTGGCAATATTCTGTAGCTCTAAATAAACAGTATTATGTACACATATGCAAAGTAACTTTTGACTTTCCACTAGTAACTCTTAAGAGCAGTTATATCTACTTTGCTCAACAATCCAGCTTTCTTGTTTAAAGAACAGACCCTTTTAACTATGCTCACCATGATTAGATTGACGTTATTAACCTGTTTGCAACAAAGAGTAGTTGACATGTACCTGGATCTCCTCAATGCTGTGGACGATGAACATGTCCTGCAGATCCTCCATCGCACCCTCCATCCAGTTGTTGAACGGAGCTGCTCTCTTGGCAAACTCCAGGTGAAGCTGATCGATGGTTTCTAGCAATTTCTCAGCTCTCTAAAGATTATTTAAATGAAAGCAAGCATTATCAGAGACTAATAAACCTAAGTATGCATCCCACAATAATGATCTATTACTTGAGACTTTTAAAATCATATTAACATGTGTCTCCAAAAGATTACCCTCCACTCGAATGACCAGACTGAGCCCTGTAGGTCTCTGGGGTGCCTTGTGAACTAAAGAAGGATTTAATGACATCCGCCGTAGGCTCATTCTTAGAGTACCTAAAACACCTTGCTCATGCCACTTTTCTGAAAGCTGAGAACCCACACGTGGCATGTCGTGACTTGCTTTCTTCTAAGTTAGAGCAGCAGTCTTCAACCTTTATGGCACCAGGACCAGTTTCATGAAAGAGAAATTTTCCGTGAGTGTGGGTGGGCTGGGGGCATGAAGGATGGGAGACGGAGCTCAGGTGGTGATGCAAGCTTTGGGGAGTGGCTGTAAATACGCGAAGCTTTGTTCACTTCCTGCTGTGCAGCCGGAATCCTAACAGGCGACAGCCTGGAACCTTTTTGGCACTAGGGGCCAGTTTCATGGAAGACAATTTTTCTACAGGCGGGGTGGGGCAGTGGAGAAGGGACAGGAGGCAGAGCTCAGGGGGTGATGCTGTGGGGCCAGCTTCCTAACAGGCTCAGGACCAGTTATGGTCCATGGCCCAGGGCTTAGGGTTTACAGAGTTAGAGGACCCGAATCTCCAACCACACCAGAAGACAGAAGATTCAGGGTATCTTCCACGTGTTATAGTCAACAGCGTGCAGAGAAGGTGTGCCTTTCCCCGAGTCACCTGCCTGAACACAGGCAGACAGAACCACAGTTTCACGTTCTCAAATCCTCGTTCAGGATTTAGCACAGAGATCACCTCTTGCCGTTAGGGGGACAAGAAAGCACAAGGTTTCAAACAACAAGAACGATCCTGCGCTTGTTTCCTGCGGCAGGGACGGTGGAGCAGACAGGGACAGCACTCCACAGCTGTAAATCTTCCACGTTCAGATCCATCTTCTTCCTCCTGTTCTAAAGTGTCTTGTACCGTCTTTGTCTGTTATACGCCTGGTCCTTCCTCCCTCTTAACATTTCTTTCTTTCTTTTCTTTTTTTTTTTGAGACAGAGCCTCAAGCTATCCCCCTGGGTAGAGTGCCATGGCATCA